CCCCAAAACCCCAAAACCCCAAAACCCCAAAACCCCAAAACCCCAAAACCCCATTCTTAAATACTCCTCTTGAAAATTGTTAAAACTTATATCCCAAGTCCAACTACTCATGCTCAAATCCATTAACTCTCACTACTGTGTCTAAGTAGGAATTTGGGCTTCTCTTCGGAGCGGGGGGTGGGATAAGTGGGTGGTTGTGGCCCTAGGTTTTGAAGGAAGGGAGAAAGGAGTGGATTGGGGGTCCTGAGGGGTCTTTACACTGTGGTGATGCGCCTGGAGGGGATTTTGAAGATTTTTGGGACTTTTGGAGAACCCTGAGTGCAGGATTTCTTGGTTCATGGTGCTGTTAAGGAGGCTATGGGGTTAGAGAGGGCGTACCAGGGGTCGTAGCTTTGGTAAGTGGTGGAGGAAGGGTTATTTGTAGGTTTTCATGAGGATTCTCTTTTTGGACATGTTTTTGATGGAGTTGAGGGGAGTGCGTTCTAGAGATGTTAGGATGGGGTTGAGGAAAGAGGATTACTTGTGTCAGGGAGGTCTATGAATTGGTTCCTGTGGTTTAGATGACTCAGATTGACCCTGTCTTTGTGAGATCGCTTATTTAGAACTGCTCTTTCTTTGGGATCCCTTTTTTCTTCGGCTAAGTCGTCTCCGAGAATGCTCTTGTGCTGATTTCCTGAGTTTATTTATGTTCATCAATGTGCCACTAAATGTATTTTTCTTGCGTTTTGACCTCTTTCTAGATCTAGGTTTTGTGAAATAATCAATTAAGGTAATTATTAATTGCTTGTTCTGCTCTTTAAGGTTCATATTCTCTGCCATAAGTGCATCTGGGGTCATCTTTTCAAGCTCCGAGATTTGAGACTTATAGTGATCGAGTTGGTCTTGGAAAGAGTCTTCATCAGCTTTGGACTGTTCATATGCTACAGAGATTTTCCGGATAATGTCTTCTTTTGTATAGAGGATCTGCTTAAGCCTGGCTCACTCCTCTTCCTTCATGTGAAACTTTTGTTCATATTTAGAAACCTCCTGCTGAATGATATTCTCAGTATTATTTATAAATCTCACTGATCTCATTATCTTTGTTTTGCGAATTATATTCAGCCTCTTTGAGGCGGAGTTTGTTAATTTCATCCTCTAGGATTTCATTTCGATGCTGGGACCCATTTATAAGGCTCTCTTTAGAGCTTCAACTTGTTTGCAGGTCTGCTCGTACAAGAACATGTACTTGCTGCCTCCTTTCGGCTTATGCTTAATATTTGAAGAATCTCTATGCAATTATGAAGGCAATTTTTGATAATAAATTTACCTAAAAATTTCCTTGAAAGCAGAATTAGCTTTTCTCTTGTACTCATCTTCAAGCTTTTTGGTTTTACTTATAGGAAAGTTTACTGGAGATTAGGTCTCTAAGATCTCCTCCCATGCTGAGGAACTCTCTGATTGCCTTAAGGTCGTCCCTTCATAACTCAAATGACTTATTTTTAGGTTTGCTCATTTCTAAAATGATTTAGCATATCTCCTGTAGACTTCCAGGCTAATATTTGGCATGTTTGTCCATAATTCAAAGAAATTTTGTAGAAATTTAACCATTTTCTTACCTTATTTTAAATTTCTTATCTATGAAATATATTTTTAAAAATTAAATTCCCAATGCTGGGGTTTTGGGGTTTTGGGGTTTTGGGGTTTTGGGG